GAAGGGCCGTCTTATGCCGTTGGGCACACAGAGTTTTGGGGGCCTTTTAAGAAAACCAAAAATAACGTAAAGATGTAAAATTATACTACTCGGGGCCCCCATCAGGCCGAGCGCCCTGGGTTCGTGCCCTTAGGGGAAGATGGAACTGTGTAATAATTTTAAATATGATATTGTACATAACTCGTTATAACAATATTATCAGACATGTTGGCCGCAGCAGCAGCATCGGTTCTGCTGGTTGATGATGAAAACGCTCATTGGCAATCGAACTCTCCCCCCTTTGGGTTGTATTCTTTTTTTTTTAATATTATTTTTCTCTGTCCATTAATTTTGCGGTACACGTGTACTTTTAATTTGCATCGACGGCCACAATCGTTTGGAGCTCGACGACAATGTCTGAAATAATGTTATTCGAGTGTTAAAAAAAATATATCTACAAATCGCCGTTTACAAGTAGGTACAAGCGACGTTGTATGGGCGGGTTGTGTGTGTATTATTTAGCTGTATTGGTTTTTCATACGTCAGGGCTGTATCGTGATAAATAAGTAGGTTTATCGCGGTGGATACGACAAGTACACGCTGCAGAACCCGATGATTAATTTCGAAAATAAATGCAAATAACGTGTTTGGAGTTTAAAAAAAAAATAGCGATGGCGCCCGGTTTGGCCATCGACCGTCGTGGACGCGATATAGGGCAATTTATTTTTTATAAAAAAAAACCGACAGAATATAGACTATGTACTATGTAAACTAAAACTATGTATTTTTAATTCGTCCGTTAACTGTTGTTAATTAATTACCAGACACTTACGATTTTAGTGTGTTTCACGTAGTCTATACCGAAGATGACCATCTTCATAATATAGTAGTATATGCTGCGATTCGAATTCGAGACTTCTCGTGGTAAACATTTTCAATTTCAATTTGTTTTTTTTCGGTCGGTAACCGAAGTCCTAAGCTTTAGCGGACGCCACTGCTCGTCTATACGAACCAGAGTCATTTATACTACACTCAAATTCACGCATTCGTGATTAGTGATTACCATTAGCCGCGGTTGTGCCATTACGGATGCACACGCTGCAAGTTTTATTTTAATAATTTTTTTTTTTGTCGTGTAATCGAATCCGCCGTGAAAGCGGCGATGACGGAGACACACCTAGCACGCAAGTGACGCAACTCGACCGGACAGAGAACGGCTTCTCGTTGTAGATATAAAATTCTATAAAAGTATATATGGGTACACCTCGGGCGGTACAATTTCTGAACAGATTGTACAATTTTCGAATGTAGCCAACTGCCTAAATCAATCTCTGCCGAGTTAACGGTTGCCGAATGGGAGCCTGGCACTTGTCGTTGCAAACTGAGTGACTGCTGCGTTTATATGCTTGTAAATATTGTGCGTTGTATTATTATTATTATTATTATTTTAAACGAAGCGCACACGCCATATTTATTTTTCCTGTTGGCTGCAGCCGCGAGGCAATACATAAACGTATTATATGTAAACCTCGCCCCGGCAATATATTTTCGTAATACAATTATTATTATAATTTCATTACAGTTTTGTACTCGAGTTTGAAGCGAGTTTTTTTTTAATTTTTAGCCGAGAAAGTATTTTTTTTCTTTGTCTCTTACTCGCTCGGATAAATCGTTTACGGGACGACATTTGGTTATTTTATTATGATTAATATAGTATAGATTCTCATATATGATATGCGATCATAGAGGTGTACAGTATATGGCGGTAGGCGCATATTAGAGGGTAACGCGGTCGTTTTGAAAATATTTTCAACGTCATGTTTCCGATCGAGAATAAAAAAAAAATAAAAAAAAAGGATTAATAACTTCCCACGAGGACCGGCGATTGTAGTAGTAGTAGTAGGAGGAGGAGGAGGAGGAGGAGGATCAGGCGGCTCTTCATTGACCATCATCAAACGGCTTCGGCGGCGCCCCAAATTTTCTTGACAATCGGTCTCTCTCTATTTCTCTTTCTCTCGTACACATATTATGTCTACCTCTTATTATTATATATATGTATATATACATATAGATATATATTATGTACAATATAATACATCCAATACATGTGGATCGGATCGACGGTCCCCGTGCGGTGCCCCAAGGCCCCAGGTCGGATGTGAACTCACCGGCGCATACCCGTTCAGACACGTCGGAGACCTAACCCGGACTCGAAGACGTTCATTGTTGTCCGCCGTTTCGTTTTGTTATTATTATTTTTTTTTATACATTTTTTTGTTACATCTTCCCCACTAGTTTTGTCGTTTTTCATTGTTTTCTCGTGTTGAGTCACGAACGGAGTGGTACTATTATTACATACTTCTTCTCCGGACTTCGGTATAATACTACAAACTTACATATTGTGTAGGTAGAAGTGTATTGAGGGTGTAAGCTGAACTGTATAATTGGCGGAAAGACGTCGGAATCCGCGCATCTAAAGATCTAGCGTCCGCCTCCCACGCTTAATCTCCCCTCTGTGATCTATAGGCCTTTGGTAATTCACTCCAACGTCCGCTTGTCGATAGCCGGGTCTCGACCGCGTCTACCCACGCGATAGCGCCAAACCAGCTGTGGATTTTCTCGTTTTGTGTGATTTACCAAATAGATTAAAAAATAACGACAAATATTCTGCGGTAGGTTTTTTATACAGATCTCATTAATAAAAAAAAAAAACTTTGGTAATAAAAACTAGTTTAGGAATACATATTTTACTGATAAAAGCCGCCGTGCCAAGTTATCTGGCAACGACTGGTATCGGTACAACAATAATTTTCGCTCGGGTTCGATTGGGATTTTTTTTTATCACTAGACAGACCGCCGACATCCATAAACTTATACTTACCAAATCACACTGGCGTTGAAAACGACACGACAGGGATTGTTTGTTGGTTTGGGTTAGTCGACACGCGTGTATAATTGTGTGGCCGTGGTAAAAAATTGTAAGTAGTGGTGACGATAAAAAAAAAAAATTTTAAAAATGCACACTTCATATATTATATTTTTGAATTTATCGCGTCGACCGACGCGGTAGTCACGTACGTAAAACGCAAGCAAAACGTAGACGCAATAAAATAAAAAACGACCCTTTTTTTTCCTTTTTTGAGTTTGATTGCCGCAGAACATCAAGGACACGCATTGTGTTATTCATAACATCCGAATCGGTTAAATTACCATCGCCGGACAGATAGAACGAGTTAGATAAGATAATGAATCTAGCTTGTGTGTCGATTATTTTCAAACAATTTTCTTAATTAAAACCGTCTCCGGCTCAAACGAAAACAATACGCTTTATTCTGATCTCTTTAATGTTGAAATGATATCAATTTTGTATACATCATTCCAATTAATCAATCTTATAACATTCAAATACCGAGTAAGACATTAAAAAAAAAATTTAAGGTTGAAGGAAAGTATATTAATATAATATTAAAAATGTTATCTATCAATCGAATGTTTTGTAACATCTGAGTCAATTGATGATTTTAAAAATGTATTAAATTTACTTTTTTTTAACCGAATTATTACATAACTAGCAACTAGTTTATGTGTTATAATTATAATAATTAATCAGATTTTGTTTGATGGATTACATATGGTACAAATTGTGTATGGTTTTTTTTTATGTATGCATACAAGTAATTAAAACAAATAATCCGCTTTAGGAGGTGGGTGTATAAGCTTATAGAATGTATTTGGGGTGGATTTTTGTTTACCGTATTATTGACAAATGCCTACCCAAGTGTTGATTTGTGTTATATTTTTAACGTTGTTGCCGAGCACTTGGACATGACCACAAATTTTGACACAACGACTGCACGGTGCTGGATAATAATGCCTAATCATCTAATGTAATTTTGTTTTTTACCGGATGAATGAACTTAAGTCGGTCGCTATGGGAACTACGTGACGCTACGTCCAAGTCTTAGCGACCGGTCTTGAATTCAGTGAAATATATTATTGTATCGATTATGCTACATGTGAGGCTAGTTAGAGGATGTTGTTCCGGTCGGCCGCCGAGCCGCTTCGGAAAATCGCTGACGGTTATAAAGTCACGCTCGACCGCCCCCGGGCGGATGAAAAAGAAAAACTGTTGTAAAACCCCCATAGTTAGTCTTAATGTGTTTTTATTTTCTGGCCCGAGTGTTCGATTGCTCGTTTGACCGTAAATATCCTACTGACTAATGCCGTATACGACGGTGCACCCTCGTGTCTATCCGAGCCAGGTTTAAGCGTCAAACGCCGTTTGTAAACCACCGTTGGTATTCCGACAAGGTTCATTGGGACCGGTCTCAACACCCGAATTAGCTCGTCTATAGTGTGCGGATCTCTGTACACTTGATAAATGTAAGACGCCGTTTGGATTCCGCTTTGTTAAATTCTAATTTTCCGTTACGACTGCATGTTTGGCTCGTGACCGAACAACGCCGGACGAAGCTTTTCACAAGTACACAAAAAAGACAAGTCACGCGTGTCGAAAACTTTGCCTCCGACACGGCAGCTGTCACCGGTGTAAACCTATATGACCCTATGTACCCAAGTATGCAAGTCTTTATCGCTGTCTTGAGTATGTCTAGAGTTTACAATTTATTCGATACGAACGCCGCCGGTGTGAATGATAAATAGCATTTATTTTCGTTGTGGACCTTTTTACTTAACGGATTCCAAATCATGGTTCCGACATAGAGAGAAAGAGAGAGAGGATAGAGAGAGACTTGTCTTAGGCCGGCATGTGTTTTATCTTATCAAGTCGCAAACTCTCTCACATAATATCGTATGTCATGTTTGATTCATCGTCAGTGACACACTGTCCGTCGGTTTTTTATCAATGTGTATTCAGTTGTGAACTTCCAACCCCGTTTAGAATTGGGTACATCAATAATCGAACCCTAATGAATATTAATTAAGCTGGCGAATGATTATGAAATGTTGGAATTTTATTGTTGTATGCCATACTAACGGTGTTTCTTGTAATTGGTTCGCAGGTGAAGTACTTCTGTGGTCCGGCCAAGTGGAACGCCCAAGCCCAGCTGATCGAATCCGAGCCGCCAAAAACGCCGGAAAGCCAAGAAGTGTGGAACGGCGAAGAAGAAGACTTGAGCTCAGCTCAGCTGACGGGCAAGCTGGCAAAGTTCTCCGACCCGGAGACCGCGGTCAGAGTGCGAGGCTTGTTCGCCAACATGGCCCAATCGGTGTGCTCCAACTACACGTCCAGTGACTGCTGGAACGGCCGGACAGTAGGAGAGTGAGTATATTTTTACTATAATTCATAAACCCCCAGATACCGTTGGGATCGATGGCGTCTTGAGAGTCCCAGGGTCCATTATGCTGTTCGACAGGAACGCAGAAATATAAGAGTGATATAATCAACCTGGGCGTATGCGGACTGACTATACATACTAGGTCCTTAGCGTTAATTACTTAGGCGATCATCGATTTATCCGTTTGTCTTTAATTGCCCGTAATTGAGTGTAATAGACCTAACCGATGGTCTAGACGATTGTTTCCGAATCCACGGCGACCGTCGTCTGGCCAGTGGCCACACTCGTACATTTTACCAATAATTGTAGTAAAACAATAATAATTATTATCGTCGGCAGAAGCGCGACCTTCGCCCGGGACAGGTCAACGAATCATAAATTAATAATAAATATGCGTTGTATGTATTCACCAGAGATTGTGCGGTAAAATAATAACGCTATAATTTGTCTTTGTTCCTTACACAGATACACCGACAACGTGGTCGGGCCCCTGTTGAGCGCTCAGATGTACAACCCGGAATTCGAATGGACGTCTTCCATCAACAACCAAGACAACAAAGTGGCCGAAGTCATTGACAAGCTCAGGCACATCAGACAAGTGAGTGAATATTATCGAATCGTTATGTCGTATTGGACGCATCGTTTATACAACGATCATGTGTGTATATGCAAATGCGTGCGTGGACTCTGACTTCTTCGACTGTCTGAATGATTTCTTAGTACAGTTCAAAGGGCAAAAGCTCATCTATTCTCCTAAACAATTTAAAAACAACATATTTTTCGTTGTTCGTCGTCTTCTTCTTCTTCTCCCGTACACGAATACTATTGTCGGACAACCGAATCCACTCTCTCCACAAATCTCTATCCGTTGTCATTGCTTTAATCACTTCACACACACACACACATCTTTATGTCTTTATTTACCGTATCCACTCACTTTTTCTTTGGGCTATCTCTACTTCTAGATTCCATTCTACAGTGATCTCACCGAATTTCAACGTGCCCAAAATCATATTTCAATTTATTTTTCCTACGCCATTGGCCACCCTGCCAAAATTTCACATATCCGCCCCTCGACATTCTCATTGTCTTGTTTTCGGGTTTCGGTCATGTCTCCCGGGCAGATATTTTATTCTCTTCAATAATGTTTTTAACCGATTGTTTTCCTTGTAGATGGTACTCAACCAAGTGACGTCCAGCCCGCAATCGGATGTCTACATGTCGGACGAGCCTGAGGGTTCGGGCGAAGGAAGCGGTAGCGGTCCCGACAGGACCGGTTGGAGTGACGACGACGATAACGCGGACGAGTACTCTTCCGGAGACGGTTCCGGCGAAAACCCCATCACCACCCCTGGACCGGACGACGACTCCGAAAACCCTAGAGGTAAGTGGCTGGATTACAACCCGTTCGTTAAACGCCAGAAAGTCATCTTGCCCCATTCGGCCATCATTGAATTTAACATAGTTAAATTCAAAGAAAATAGTGTATTTATTAAGTAAAAACCAAAGAAGGAAAATATGGAACACTATATGAATCTGTGAAAGGGTTAACGGTGCACCTGCCATTGACAGACAAAGATCTGCCGTGCGTGGTTGTTCTTCGGCTGGGTTGGTTATATTATGTCTAATCGATACTATGCGTTTGTTTATAGGTCTGCTGCCCAAGAACAAACAGAACAACAGGATAGTGACTTCGGGCTCGGACGTCGTGATAAACACCAAAAAGGATGAACCGGGCGCGGCTTCGTCCATACAAGTGTCCGTCGCGTTGCTGTTGTTGCTGACGCTGTACTCTTCTTCTTCGTACCTCCTGATGACACCCGTTCGTTAGGATATATTGTACTTTTGTTAAGTTATTATTATTATTATTATTATTGTTGTTAAGTGGAAATTCGTTCTTCAATTTACTCGGCTTTTGTGTTGTTTTTTTTTTGTTAGGGTACCTTTCGCGAAAAAGATAAGTTTTTTCTAAAAAATTTTGTTTTTTTCGGGATTACTACTTTTTTTTTTTTGTCATTTTATGTTTGTTTTTTTTATTTATGTCCTTTAGACTGATAAAATTCGTGTGTATTGATATTAATTATTATTATTATTTATATTATATAAAAGGCGGGAGGGAGAGGGGGGGATGAAAAGAAGAAAAAAAAAACGGTTCGCTACGGTAATATCGGCGATATTTATACGATTGTTCAACCGATGATTCACCTAGCGCAATAATTTCTAACAGCAATCGTTAATTATATGAATATATATATATATATATTTATACCATTAGGCTTACTAACTTTACCCAATTTTTACATGATATTATACATTTAACTTGTACGCCTAACAATATTTTTTTGATGTTCTCGAGCAATAATTTATATATATATATATTTTACATAACATTAATAATAACCGCGCGTCGCGACGTTCGTACGCAGTGTGTATTTATACATAATTATATTGTATGTGACAATTTAGACTAGTTCTACTTTTTTTAAAAAAAAGCAACAATTGATTGATTATTAGTCGTGTTAAAACTGGTTTTACTACACATTAATTATTAATTTAATAATAAAAAAAAAAATCGAAATTGATTAAAAATTATTCGACTGGCGGTTTTTGACTTTTTGTTTTAATAAGAAAAATAAAATATATAAAAAATCACGATTCGCGACTTACTACTATACGTCTTATTCGCAGCACTAAATACTCAATTAATATTAATCATTATCGTTGTCATTATAATTATTATCATTAATTTAATTTAATTTTCTTTTTTTTTAATTTATTATTATTATTATAAATGTTTTGTCACTTTTTTTTAAATTTTTTGTCGGGCAAGACGTTTTGTTGTGAGACTGTAATTATTAACGTATACGTTCTCGGCGCTCAAGTCGTCATGACTTAATTTTAGGACAACATAATCCCTTTACATTGTCGCGTACCCGACGGTTTGAAACATCATGACCCCTCCCCGATCACACATTAACCGTGTGCCCCCCCCCCCCGGGTAGTGACGCCTTTCAGTATTTATCATTACTGTAGGCCGAGCTGGATGTATTATCATCGTTGCACATCAAACGCGTTCAGACTATACAGAGGACGGTTCGACAGCGACACGGGTGTCGAGAATAAATTGAGTTAAATGAATAAAATTTAAAAAAATGAATATCCGTTAAGCCCGGTGTTTTTTGTTTTTTTTTAAGTATAAGTTTATATATTATGCATTATTAATCATCTCACGATAATCACAATTGTTTTTTTTTTTTTTTATTTATAAACTAAACGACGCGACACCAAGCATAATTTATCCATATTAGTGTGGAATTTCAAAATTAAATATTTAAACTGTACAAGTATATACCGACGGTGTTCGGTAAGCGATTCGCACAGTTCACCAAAAATTCTACCTAATTAATAATAGTATTACATTTTTGATAATGATTTCTCAGGTCCGTCTCGTCTCTGATGGGCAGGGTTTTCTTTTTGGGCTTCCATTGGGTGTCCGACAAAGAGTTATGATAATATTAACAATAATAATATAGAGTTGATTGCTTGCGAATATAATTTTTTTTTTTTATTATTATATTATATATTTTAATAACGGTTTGTAACATACGAAATAGTTGTGTTGTTGTTGGACAATGTTATTATAGTAATATATGTTTACCGATGAGTGTTTTATTGGAGAAAAAAAAGAGAAATAATTTTGAATATTTTACGTGTAGTTGATTTTTTCATTTTGATGACTGTGATTTGTATAGTTAAGTAGGCAATTAAAAATAAAAAAATTATTATATATTATATTATATGAATATTGTCTTTAATGTTTATTCATGCTAATAAATAAAATATTGTATAGTTATAAATATTTATATAAATACATATATTATGTAATAAAAAAAAATCTTAGACTACGACTGTTTGTTTTTCTAATTGTAAGGTATCATTTTAAAACAAATCTAAACGAAATTAACTTTGATTGATTAATAAGTTTATTGATTATATTAATTTTGTGTTTTTCCTGCTCAAACAATGGATTTGAATTAGTTTGATTTTACTGATGTTTTACTCGGTGGGTACTATTGGCTTCTTAAACGTCAGTTCTAAGCAACCAAATTTGAATTGATTTGTACACCTACTATACAATTGCGCCTACGATATTTCATTGCAGCCGTGTACTTATATTGCATATCCAAAACGCCGTTGAACGAAGACTGTGTAAATGGAAATGTTTTTTTTTATGCAGAAATCTAAAATAGTAATTTTAAAAAATGTATTCAACCTTGTGTACACCTACTTGCCTTTTTTTATATCGCGTCACGATTCAAAGTACTTAATAATTATAATCGACAATCGGTTGACTAGAAAATAATTGAAATATAAATGTATTACCAATGAGTACATTATTTTGTACATACTCAATGGTATTACCTATTACTTATATTTAATACAGGGAGCGCTTTAACAAGCAGTGCAAAAACCACATGTCTATGTGTAAAACAATATTCGACAATATCTTCCACGCATTGTATTTACAAATTTAATCCGAAAACCGAATATTATAATTAAACAGAGCATTCATCAGAACCATTTAAATTAACCAAGAAATATAAGTAACCATGTGTTTTTTTTTTAATTCATACTGTTAGACGAACAATAAAGAACTAATTGTTTCTTAACTAAAATAGAAATACGCATGAGATAAGTCACGTTAATTATTTTTCTTTCGTTTAAACGCTCAAGACAATACATTTTTCTACAAATAATTCTTATTGGTTTAATCGTTACCTTTAGTATTTGTTGCACAACTGTTAGTTTTAACCTTAAAAAACAAATTCAATTTTTTTATGAACTAATAAAATTGTCTTGGGAAAATTGCACACCAAAAATCCTCAATAAGTAAATTTTTCAAAAAAAATATTGACATACTGTCACGCTATCTATAGTAGTATAATAATACTCTGGCTATAACTGTTCTAAAACAAAACATATTTAATCAAATAAAAGAAAATATTTACTATGTTTGCACAGAATAATTAAGCATAATATAAATATATATATATATTTTTTATAGTTTGTGAACATAAATAGTTAAGTCTACAAATAAAAAATAGTAGAATTAAAATATTCAAGTTCATGCATTATCCAATCTAATCATGTAATCATGATTAAGTTAACTGTACCGAAAATATACTGATGATTGATGAAATTTAAAATTGCCATCAATTTTTACATGAGCTACAGGCGTTTTTTTTTAATGACTAACAATAGTTGTAATTCTATTTTAGTAATTCGAGTCCATACATCAAATGTAATCAAAACCATGTGTATAACCAGTTTGTAGTAATCGAACATTATATATTTTACAACTATGGAATCAAAGTTATGGAGGATAAATTGTAGAAATAAATGAACACATATATTTTCTTAAATTAATAATAATAATTATTAATTGCACAGTAATAATGATCACTTTTAAACGCATATATAATAATATTAAAAAATAATTAGGAGTACACATTTTTAAAGTACCTATTGGAATTTTTGGCACAAGCGCAGACCTAAAAACTGACATTTTCAACAAAACAAAAAAAATACAAATTATACTAATTTATAATATACGAGTACACTATATGGATTGACAAAATATAACTAATGGTTGACTATTACTACTATATTAAAATTACAATATTTTAATATACTATATAGTACATTTTCTTATGTTTTTAAATAAATAAATTAGTTCACAAATTGTTCAAATGTTAAAACGATAGTATTTGTACACACAAATTAGCCTATGTATATAATATTATATTTTTTTATATTTATTTTATGTTAAAAGATAAATTTTTTAAATAGTTTTAATTGAAATAAACGATACTTTATTGAAAAAGAGAAAACTGGTTAAGAAATAACTATAACTATAAATATTAAAATAACATTATATAAACACAATGTGTAATGTTCTTGTATTAATTGTATGGTAGTTTTCATTAATGACATGTCACAAATAGCACTTAAAGTTGTACAATAAAAAATAATTTTTTTTTTCCGCTTAAAAAATATTGTATACATCACAGATTTATAAAAAATTGAAATTGGTTTTTCCACTAAATATGCATTTTTTTGTGCTTAAACGAAAGATAATATTACGTGTAAATAGTAACGAAATTTGCATAATTAACAAAATGAGCTGTTGATAACTGTTTTAATTTAACAAACGACGATATAACAATATTTTAATAAATATTTTGACAATGCAAACTTTATCACTGTTCACTTACGTTAAGTTCACCGTTACGTTACGTTAAATTGCGTGGAAAAAGGTACAACACACATTTACTTATATCTGTGCTGAATAAATGTTATATAACTTTATAAGTAATTAAAATAACAATTTTTAAATCTTGTAAGTCATTAAAAAACAGGACGATAAATATACTAAAATATTATTTCGATTCATTTTAACAATTTGTACATGTCTGATTCATCCAGATATTATCAATAACTAGTTTCTAAATTTGGATTTTATTAATAAAAAGAAATTCTGGAATATTTTAGAATTCTAAATCTGAATGCATACTTTAAATTCCTGTTTGCACTATCGATGTTGACTTAAACTTTTTGTTAAACAATAGAATTTGATTCAAGTAATTACGGCTAAATATAAAGTATTATATTATATTTGATACAATTGACAAGAACATTAATAATAAAATAATAACTATTTGAATTAATCAGTGTTTCACGTCAAACGAATAAAAAGAGACTTTTTTTTTTTTATCCTGATACAGAAACAATATAAAGGACGGTTGTACCCATAATGTGCTACAGCTGTAGCACGTTATTTTGTAGTTTTGACATTAATATTTTTAAAATCAATCGGTTTAAATTAAGATACCAACAAGTTGTCTAAAAAAAACTCACTGCAATAAATATACATAGTCTCGAATTTGGATCAAAATCTTTATAGTGTACGGTATGGGCCATTTACTTTGAGATAACTCATCACTATGGAAGGTCCACCTTTGGCGGCATCACCGAGTTGACTCAAAGGGCAGTTGTCAATTCCCAACAATTTTAGTTTGGAACAAAGAGCGAGCTCAAAAGGTAAATGATGAAGACTTAGATTATCGTTAATGAAGAGAGCCTCTAAGTTCTCTAACGTGCCGATTTCTTCTGGCAACGTGGTCAGTTTGTTTTCTGCTGCATTCAGTTGGGTCAAATTCGTAAGATGACCAATGGCGCGAGGTAAGGTCAGCAACTGGTTGGCTTGTAATACTAACTTTTGTAGCTCTCGCAGGTAGCCTATTTCTTGAGGTAATATTTCGAGTTTGTTTTCTTCCAAGTCCAGCACTCTGAGTTTCTGTATGTTCCCTATTGTGGCAGGCAGTCGTTTCAGCAAGTTGTTAGACAAAATCAATACCTCCAGCGAATTCATGTACTGTATGTCGTCAGGTATTTTGGTAATCAAATTTGTCGCTAAGTTCAGCTCGACCATAGTGGTCCAGGAACCCACATCCAATGGTAACGACGTCAAAGCGTTGTCTCTCATGGTTAACTTGGTCAAGTAGTTGGCTTTGGAAAATATCCCGTAAGGTATTTTATCGATTTTGTTATGTTCACAACTGATCGTGTCTACCGTCATGAATTGCGCAGGCCCGCCAGTCGGATACGACGTAAAACTATTTCTGGCTAGCGATATACTGCTCATTTCTTTTAGATTAGCAAGAAGACCATCGGGTAATGAGCTCAGCATATTGCCCTCGACGTTGAACTCGTCCATACGGTTACAGCTACTCAAGGAACTCGGTAACGCTTTCAATCTATTGTATCGTAGTCCTAGTCGCGTTAATAGTGTAAGATTACCAATTGTGTTGGGAATGTCGATGAGTTCGTTGTGTTGAAGATCCAACGTGGAAAGCTGAATGCAGCTTCCGATTTCTTCTGGTAAATGTTCCAAATGGTTATGGGAAACATCAAGCGTGATGAGTCGTTGCAGCTTACCGATTCCGGCCGATAGTTCTTTGATTTTATTTTCTCGCAAGCTAAGCATGACTAAGTTGACTAGTTTGCTAATATCATCATTTACCCTACGTATACGATTGAACCTCAAGAATAACGTTGTGAGCGTGTCGAGCTTATACACGACGTCTGGAATTTCAGTTAGTTTGTTGTGTCGCAAATCTAATACTTTTAGACTGGTGAGATAAGCCAGCGAATTGGGCAGACTGGTCAGAACGTTTTCACTCAGAGCCAGCGTCTGCAAATTTACAAGACACCCCATTTCCGGCGGTAAAGTGGTCAATTTGTTACCGTATAAGTAAAGCTCGGTCAATTGTGTCGCTTCTTTTATGGTATTCGGCACCATTGTCAGACCCGACTTGCTCAAGTCCAAACGCCAATTGGAGCTTTCGATGCAGATTTGTATTTCTCTGGTAGCATCCTGTACCACTTTCTTTGTGTTTTCTTTTTTGGCCGTCGAGGTCGGCGTGTACAGTTTTTTTGAATCTGGCTGCTGGACCGTGACTACTCGGGGCTTTAGATCGACCGGAGGAGTGTTGGAGATGGAACTTACTGACAATTTCTTCTCCTTGCGTATCTTATTGGCTTCGATCATTTTCACCAAGTCTACCTCGACGGGCTTCATAACAAAAACTGCTATAGCCTATTCAACACGTTAGTTTATACAATAAAAACAACATTTCGCACTAATCGCACGAAACATACCAAATGGAATTGGTATTTATTTTACACTTTTTCAATATTAATTAAGTTTTTCTCGAGAACCAAGATATTATTTTGTTATTGATTATATCTTTTAGTCTTCCAGATAATAACATTCATGGATGGAAAAACTAATATATACTTATCCTTCCATGAACCTCTCGACAGTCGACATATTATATTCTATACAATATTTTCCAATGTTCATTGATTAACAACGAAAATCGAATTACTCGATAATTAATTAAAACAAGCAAATAGTATGATTTTACCAAAAATAACTACATACCATATAATAAAATTATTTATTTATTAATTTTGGAATACTATCACAGAATAAATTAAATTTCCATTATTCTGTGATAGATACTATCTTATTTCTAATTTGAATAGTTTGGGAACCAATGGATTGACGAATTTAGAGGTTATGTTATGAGAATGACTATAACATTTATCATTAAGTAAAACAAGTGAAATCAGTATTTACAAAGATAGTGTGTTACAATTATTAACTACAGGAGAATTTTTAGTTTTTAATTCAAAAATACTGCGATTATTAACTTGTTTTTTTTAAGAACACAAAAAAAGTACCAAAATGGTTACGAGGAGTACTGTTCCGTCTTCGAACACAGACAAACATAAAAATACATTAGACGTCGGTCTGTTAGAAGAAGATGATGAATTTGAAGAATTTCCAGTAGAAGGTATTTCTATAAAAGTAAAATTAAGAATATAAAATATTATTAAATTATTATACCTTTATAGAATGGACGGAACAGGATGAAGAAGATAAAGAAGCTAACGTTTGGGAAGATAACTGGGACGATGATAACGTAGAAGATGATTTTAGTGTTCAACTAAGGTAACAATAAGAATTGATTTAACAATTTTTTTTAATCACTTAATAAAAAAATATATAAATTAGAAAAGGGCAGTTTTTATCTTGATCAAAGGATAGAAACAATAAGAATTGTTAAGAAATTTAGAAAATCAAGAGCGCATTTATACCATTTTGCTAAATCATTATTATGAATGCGTTAAAACTTTTGTAGATTAGTATATCAATTCTTGAAATTTGATTTGTAAAAACATTATTACTTTGTTCTAATAATTTTTTTTATTAATTTTTCAGAGCCGAGTATGAAAAGCAAAATATTCCTGCTAATTTTTGAAATGTACCTACTACCCGCTATTAACAATGGCAATTTGATAAAAAAAAATTAAATGTGTAAAATAATAATTATAAAGTTTTTGAACTTCTCCTTTAAATATAAGATTTGTTTTTGAGAATTGGGTTTAATTTATTTAACTACAAACTTGTATTAAACATATTTTTTTTTTAAATTAAAAACTAATTCATGTGACAATTTCTTTATTTGTCTAAATTAAGGCCTACCGAGTGTGTTGTAAAAGTGATACTAAGGTAGATAATTAGGGTAAACATACATGGATAGACTCAACCAATCGAAGGGATGGCTGGAGCGACATTGCATGTTAAATTTTTAGTGAGACTTTTATTGCTTCATAAACCGGTAAAGGATACAAATCCAATAAACGACATTCGGCACTATCTAGTAATATATTTGACAACCAACTCTTACGTATTCCAATCCAGCTGAAGTCAAAGAATGTTGTTCTACCAAAAAAAGACTGAAAACAAGTCGCATGTAAAGTTGCTCCAGCCACCTAAATCCTGTTATTGGATATACGCTTTATATCCAACGTCATATTAAACAGTTTTTGTTGTCCATCCGTTATATTAAATGGGTTTCCTATTTAAAATATATGTTTCTGTCTATCTACGCATAGTTATTAAGCAATGGTAGATGTAAACTGTTGTAAATTAATAAAATGCAAGCTCATTTTTTTTATAATTTAAGCGTTTAAGTGTAAAACATTATGCTAAAAAAAAAATATATACAAATACACAGACAAATTAAAATATCATAATTGGTACATATTTGATAAATTAGACTAGAAACTCATAAGCTTCATTTTTAGAGGGCAAACGTTAACTTATTCAACACATACATTTTTTTTTTTGTAGAGTAAGGTTATAAAAATTAAGTCTTTTCAGCGTTTATCTTTTCATCTGTTTGAGAGGATTTTTTGTCGGCGCCCCTCTTATAAGCGAGTTAGAAGAACTTTCTACTTTACGGAACACTTTCATAGTAATGGCAGATGCGGGAGGAGGTAATTGTGGTCTATCTGGAGTATCAGGAGTATTTGGGGCTTGGACGGGAGAGGCGATTCTTGCCACATCTTTACCCATTTCAATAATGCCAGAATGTGTACTTAGCATGGCACACAACTGAAATCCAAAATATTTCAATAAGTATAATAAGTTTAGTTTATGCATGCATAATGAATATTTGGCTCTGCCGTATTCCTTTACTTCCAACATTCCGTTTAATGCTTGTCGAGCTTCTCTGTGGTGATCACCGACAACTGGATTTAAAATAGAATGATATTGTAACAACTTAACTCTACAAAGTTCCACCAACTCCTAAAAGAATAATTGTGTTAATATTTAATTAGAAGTATCAAAATAAATCGTAATAAAACAGATAAGAAAAAAAACTACTAGATCGTAAGCAATGAAGAAGAAGGGTTTCAATTTTAGGGTCTAAATATGTTTTCTATTTTTTTAAATTCCAGTTTATTGAACTCAATTTTTGACTTCCTGCGTAAAAGGAGTGGTAGCAAGGAATTTGTTTGCCAGTACGATCCTTAAGGCAAATTACTAAGAGGAGAAAAATAAGATATGGGATTACAATTACCTCCGAGGAGTTGCGCATTCTTCTTGACGAATATACCAACTGTGATGGCCTACAAAATATTAACATTAATTGATTGATTGAGCTATGTAAAATCTACTTTGATATTTAACTAAGTTATAAAATATAATAGTACACAGACCTCTGAAGTTCTTCTTCCAATGAATTCGTTCTTGAGATATCCCTTTTGTCGTGCTTCAAAGAATGGATGACGGACGGTAATGGATAGATCTGTTGACGATAAAATTTGCAATAAGAAATAAACATAATACAGCAAATATTTATCATACTTGAGGATCGGACATGTGAAGCGCATACTCAATGACCGATGTTACATCTACATGTGGGTACTTCATTAGAAATGTAAGACAGCTAGTGCTATCACTTTTCAATACTGAAAAATTAACTATAAAAATAATACCAAAAATAATAAATGAAAACCAAAAAAACACATACACTGAACCCGTAATAGTATTAACATCGCAACAAATATATGATTTATCAGTTGAAAGTGTAGCGGTGATTTTGCAAAAATAACATCCCACAATACTAACAAATCCATCAATGAAAATTCTCCACCGAATAATAATCTTAACCAGCGGCTAAAAATAATAGATTAGCCTGAGTTAATTTTATGTTTTAAATAAAATAGGGATTAGATACTCACATTCCAAATGTAGTGAACGCAATGTCGAGTCTTATAAGGTGATTATGCAATTCGGGATCATACTTGGGTAACATACTATCGCGTATTTTTAATAGTTTCCGAACAATTTCACTTTCCGTATTAGAACTCTATAGCAAAAATAATGCAGTGAATTTTTTATTAAATTAAATCCAATATATTTATTTATTTATAGATACAAAACGTACAATCTTTATGGTCTCCGATTCGTCTTCCGACGACAATAGTGTACTATCGTTAATAGTGTAATAGTCTATCATAACCTTCATCAAAGTACTAAACTGCGAACTAAACATCAATATAAAGTCAATACAACTATGTAAAATATTAGTTTAACATCACACCTACTATGCATCTGCTTCCAAATGTAATGGGTTCAAAATTTGTTGTATTACATCACTGTAAAATAAGAATACAATTATTACTGTCAGGTTACAATAACAGTATTTAATAGTATTCAACACACCTAACATCAGAAGATTGTTCTACGACATGAAGCAGCGCTTGATGATCACAATGTAGGACAAATAATATTGGTGCTAAAATTTCATGCATTCCCTAAATTTTAAATAAACAACATATAAAGTCAATAAAAAACAATCAAATTATTTTACTTCACATACTTGTCTATAACTCAAGTCGGGATGTTCTCTAGAATAGCAAAATAATATGTTGACCATTGTGTTTTGTATTCGTTCCGTTTGAAAAAATTGAATGCCCGGAGACGTCCTAACCACATCTTGTTTGATTAATTTTTTCAACTCCATGTCTTTGAAATATTGTTTCCAAATACTCTAAAAAGATATGTTATAGTCTATAAGAAAATAGCTCGACCAGACTATGCAGACAACTGCCTACTTCTCTTATACAAGTTATTATTTTCGATGCTCAAATTGAAAAATAAAAGTAGGGTGCGGTTTTACTTAAAAAAAAAAAAAGAGTGTATCCAGAATTTTTTTTACCACTTAAAAATTAGTAGGGTTTCTACACTACAATTTCTGAGAAAATATTTGGGGTACTCAGCCCCCCCACCCCCAATTCAAGCACTAGTTATTTTCATATTGGTTTAAAAATATTAGCCTTCATTACTGAAATAGTGATTCGTAAATATTATATTTAGAATATCATTGATTATAAACATTAAACATTGCCCACCGAGGCAAATTTAAGTTCTGAACATTGACATGGGACGGGCGTTAGTAGTATAATTTCCATTAAAAACCGTCCCGTGTCGACTGAAATTGATCTCGGTGGGCAATCTATAACATTTACAATCAATGATAATATATACCTAAATTTATCATTGCATTATAATAGTTAAACACATTAATATAATAAAAAAGTTAAATTAATAGGATTGAGTTCATATTCATTCAACATGATTAGTAAATCATTTTGTATTCAATAATAACCAACAAATTCAAACAGAAAAATAAAAGATTAGGTTTAGCTTAGAAAGATTATATAGCATTTATTGGAGAATAACAAATTAATACATGGGATTCTCTATGTAGTTTGATGATGGTAGAATTTTTTATTTTTATTTAAAGTATCTTTGGTATTAAAGAATTAAACATTATATTTTTAGCAGGGGTCCATCTCCAGTAATAATGTTAATTAAGTAATAAGATATTACATTTACTTCTAAAAAAAAAAACTTAAGGAACGAATAGATTTTATTTGTTCTGAAACAAAGACTGAAATGAATTAATAATATAGGCATTTATTTCAGATCATTGATTTTTAAACTTTCTGATTTTTAAGACTAGGAATTCAACTAAGTACAAATATTAATAAAAATAATATTCTAATGAGGAATAAAAGCACATTTTCCATGTAATTTTGAGTTTATTATACAATTTCATTTGGTTTTTACTAAAGCCCTACATTTAACGATATATTAATAAGCATATTTATTATATATGTGCGATATACAATTAAACAATATAGGTAAGTCAAACAGTTTGCTTACACTATCACTTTGTGAAAGTGGATCATCGGGTTCTGTGTCCTGTGAGTGTGGATCATTATAATGTTTCTGTTTGATATGTTCATACCGTGAACGATGTTTTTCTATAACCGATATCCATTTAGTCGAGTCCAATGGCAATATATCTAACAATATACGCCAACATACACTTCTAAACCTTGACGCTCGCAAATCCCCTTGAATAGCAATGTTGCGCAATTCATCCATACTGGCGGTATTGAATAGTGAATTCCATTCCTGTCTAATATAAAAAAATTATCTACATTTTTTTTATGTAACTTAAATGAAACAAAACAAGCTTTACATGTCAAAAACAGTCAACAATTCTATGTTGGTCATCATTTTGTTATAATATTTTCAATAGTGAATAAATTTCATATTTGTAATAATTGCTAACACAAAACAAAAACATTGGGCTTACTCATATAATTTGACAGCAATGTTTTCACCATTTTCAGCACTTTCTGTACACTCATCAACATAAAACATCTAAGAAAAAGAAATAATTTAATTTAATTAAACTCAGTTTATAATTAAAATGGAAATATATACAGTGTTTTATATGTTTAATTACAATAGAAACCGGTTTCCAAACTCAATGAACACCAGAATTCATGGTAATCTTAAAATGCATTTGAATGTTATTAGAAACTAATTATCAATTTAAGAATTTTATTAAAAATTATTGGCAGTTAACAAAAACAAAAATACAATAACTGAAGTACAATAAGTGGAAATACAAACCTGAATGAGTTGAGGATAAGGCAGTGTTAAATAAATCTACAATCCCCGCGCAAAGGTTTATTTCAAAAGGGTCTAACTGAAATTTCTTCATACAAACATACGAATTAACAGAGATAAATAAATATTATACATTTAATTATAACAACTTAATAGTTTACTTGTATTTTGTAACGAAGGTTCATCGTCCATAAACCATACGTTTATCGTGTCATAAAGTCAACATATTATAGAGGTTAGAGAAATTATTATAACATATTATTATGTAAAATATCGCTGACTGGAAGTCAAATACTGGGCAATGTGCATTTAGCATTATAATCTATATTGCATATCAGCACTCGGTAGACAGCAACACCCCAGGTGTATATTATATTGATTCGGTGATCCACCACAATTATTATCAATTTCAACTTTTAGATAAGACGGGTATAGTAACTCTTTACGTATTGTTTGTATAATAATATGCATATACCTAAGTATATTATATAGCAAAAATATTACTCACAGAGATAATACTAATTTTGTTATCAGAATGAGATCAGCTGTAGCTTCCAGAGGGCAGAGAGTAAGGCCCGTTTCATACGGGACCACTATAAAAAAATTATAATTTTAATGAAGGTTTTCACAAGTAATTAGCCCATCTACTAATTAATTAAATCGTCTATAATCGAGGTAATTAGTAAAAAAATCTTATTAATAAAATGTTTCATTATCATGACTTTTCTTCTCCATTATTTGTAGTACATAACATTTAATTAACATCGAGGGTCAAACGTGAGAATTAATGAACTACCTATGTAATGCTTTTAGCTTCGATGCGTATCTCAGAAAGTGTTGTTTTTTTTAACATTCTATTTTTCTGCCTGGACTCAAGATTTCTTTATACAACAACTTTATAGATCTGAAGAAGAAGGCCAAGAATAATATTAGTTCCCTCCCGGCTCCCTAGTTCTCCTTCAGAACCGGCCAACACACCTTATCGCTAACATGTTTTAAAACTTAATATAATGACACACTAAAACTTTTTGGAAAATAGTAGAATTATTTCTTAATTTTTAAACTAAGCAAATATCATTTTATTTCCATCCAGAAAGGGTGGGAACTTTTTCTTATACATTTTAATATTGTTACCTGTTGTTATTTTATATTTTTTTCAAGTATATGTATACAGTACAAAGTAATAAATTAAACATACATTTTGTTATTTTCCAAAAATAATTGTAAATTGAAAATCTGGAATTTTTTTTAAAAATAATTGTATTGGTTATTTTAAATATTATACAGTTCCCAAAAGACCAGTCAAAATGTCCATACATTATTCTTCACTTTTTACATGCCTTTCCAAAAATACAAATTCATTGAATTAAGTATTATGAAATGTATGTTATATCGAATAATAATATTGAACCAAGTTTAAATTACAAAAAAACTTACAATATAATACATTATCTGAAATTTTATTTATATATTTTTTAGGGACTTTTGTTGAATAGGGACCACGCTTTCTTTTTTGTAAAAAATTAAAGATGGTTACATTAAAATTGTAGTTCATTTTGGGTTGTTTTCAAAATAATTGTCATTTAAAAAAAATATGCTACAATTGATTGGTAAATTGTTCTTGTAGTAAAATTATTTTTTACTTTACAGTTCACTTGCAAAACAAGCATGTTTTTTAAAAATTAAATTATTTTTTTTAAAACAAATTTAAAAATCTTCATTCCACATTTCCTTTATAAAATTCATACACTGAATGTAACAAAATATATTTGATAAATAACAAAATATTGATATAACAAATTTATAATTTTTGTTTATTACTATTTTCTAATGAGCAATATTTTGTGTTCAAAAAATTCGGATTTAAATGCTTCAAATATTATGCAAATACTTTAAACATAAAAATAATTAAAATTAATTTTAAAACTATTCAAATAGTCGAATGCTTAAAAATATTTAATTATTCAAATCCAAATTACAACACTAATATTTACTTTCTTATAATTTGTTTAATGAAAATGATTAAAAAACATATTCCAATGAAAAAACAATAGCCTGCATACCACTTAAACTGAAACAAAAACAAAAACAGTAAATAAGTGGAATATTTGATGTCTTAAAAATGAAAACTTACCAAAGCTTTAGACGATGAAGACATACCCAAGGAGTTCATAAATAATGTGGCCAACGATTGTAAAATTGCCGCTAAAAGATTATTTGTACCAAATACAAATCCATGTTTATCCTTATTGACACATTTTGCTATTTCTGTACTGCATTTTTTAAATTAAGTTATAGTTAAAACTATCAAATCTTCAACATGTTTTTTATTTAACTTACCTAGCAATGGTCATCATGCCTTGATAAACGGTACAATATAAAATAAAATTTATGTAAGAAATATAAATTGAATTCCATAAGATCGATGTGTATAAAGTAGCCCACTGGGTGATAGCACTAAGTAAAATGATAAAATTACCAAATTTGTCCACATTTATTGCTATTTTTCCACATAATATTGTTACACAGAAACCTATAAAAATCATACAAAGTCACTTTACATTTGACATTAAACAAAATAACAAAATGATAAATATAGCTTATTCAGAGTCAATTAGCTAAAAAGGGTCAAATCACAAAGCAAGTGTTTCTTAACTTAAAAAAAAAAAAAATTTATGTAAGTTTTTATTAAAAAAACCGCTAAATGTTTGAAAAATGTTTATGTCAAAATTAGACTTGCAAATACAGTTTAAACTTTAAAATTTTAACTAGGTACAAGCTATCAAAAATTTAATACGTATAGAATTAAACAAATATACAAAAAAAAAATTACTTATAACTGTGTAAATTGCATCTACAGCTCCATTCCACTCTGAATATGTTTGGCAATTTTTTTCGACACAACTTTCATGACTTATTGATTCCCATAATGATTGAATATAGAACAATACCTAAGTATTAAATTTAATGATGTTTTTAAAGTAAAAAAAATATATTCCTAAAAATTAATCATTTAATGCATTATGTTTCTACCTGGTTAAAACCACACGTTGCCAAAACTATCCAAAATGACCATTTTAAAACTTGCAAATTTTTATACTCTTCGCACAGTGATTGAAAGTAATTCCAAGAAATTTGGCTGTCCTTAAAAAACCAATTAATTTTATCTTTCTAGAAATTAAAATAGCTATTATAAGCTATAACAAAACTTTAATGAAAAATATTAAATTATTTATATGAATTTTCAGTTTTAATTAAATAATGCTTTATTTAAGTACAAATTGAAATAATTAAATAAAAAATTTGAAAAATATTTGTTAGATTAAAATTTAATAGTTTGGTAATAATTATATGAAATAACAGATTATCTGAAAAAGTTAAATAAAAGTATATTTCAAATTATAAATAGCAAATATGTATTTTAAATACCTCAACATTTTTAATTAGTTATTTAAATAAAAAACGTGCAGCCATGAAAGTATAATATATTAAATATATTGTAAAGACATTTTGTATTTACAATATAATGATCTATAAATAAATAATGTTCAAGTCAAATGAGTTAAGGATAAAAAAATATTGTGTTACGTTTGTTGGCAGTGTATCTTTTTGAAGTGTTTCATTTTCTGCTATTTCAAGTTCCGCTTCTTCTGGTGTCAGGGATGCTATGTTCATAGCTGTCATTTTTTGAGCCTCGGGTTCAATAACTTTTTGTTCCACAGACGGTAAAACCGTAGTCCATAGTAATCCAGCAGCTAAACCTATTATTTAAAAACTATTTATTACACAACAATTAAAATGTATAAGTTTTCTAGAAAAATAATAACCTTACTAACTTCCTAGAGTGAGAAAATTTAATTGGTAAGAGTCAAAGATATTAGCTGAAATTGACAATTGAGCTACAATACTAGAAATAAAACGACCCATAAGATGTGCGGCCCTTGTATGACTAGTAACTGTTTGATAATATTTTGTATCCACAACAGAGTAAGTGTACGTATAGTAGCCGACTTCTGCTGCTGAAAAAATTCCATACAAAATTTGAACTATCTAAAAAAAAAAACTCCAAATTAATCAAATACCTATTTTTTTTTATAATAAATGAGTAATTGTATAAAAATAACATACAATCATGGACGGAAAACTTGTGCATAACGATAAAATTGCATAGACAACTGTTCCACATATCGCTTGTATGACTATTACTGCTTTATATCGTAATAAATCGGTAGTTAAAGTGACGAAAATCATAGAAACCATTAAGGAATATATTCCAATAGGAAGGATTTCATTGTTTATCTAAAACAATTGTAAAATATAATTTAAAAATTATCAACAAACTAATTTAAAATACTTGAATAACTATAATAAAATAAAACATTCGCTGAAAGAACAAATATTTAGGAAGCTGCAAAGCAAATATGGGATAAGTTTTTATAACGTGACATTGAGATACTATTAAAGGAATTAAATAATCTATTTTGTAAATTATCAAGTAGGTACTAGATAAACTTACTTGTTCTTCGGTGAAGTTCATACGAGGTCCTTGTAAAAAAGGTATTACATAAGACTCGGATGGGCGGAATTCTTTAAGAATTCCATAGATGCACAGGCAAAAAGAAATTCTTTTCCAGTACATATTTATAATAATTTAGCTGCAAACACAAGAGAACAAAATTATAATTTGCTTGTACAACAATATTAGCGGATGAGATGCTTGGTGAAAGTAACCTATCAAGTGAGGAAATCAAATTATAACATTTTTTTTTTTTATATAAAACTGTTAGACTTAAGAGGGCGTTGCACCACCCATTTTTAAGGAGTAAAGTATAGGCAATTTTTTACAAAATCTTAATTTAAAGGTTAAACTGTGATGTGTACTTATTAGTTCAATAACTAGGACTCTATTTTGGTAGTTAAATTATTTTTCGGACTACCACAGCATCCTTGAAAGCGATTTAAAAATGTTTTTTTCATCTCTACATGTTAAAGCAGACTGAAAATAACACGCTAAATTTTGGTTTTAGAGTAAAAGCACCCATTATAAAATTATAAGAGAACAATATTCCGGAGGGCACCACGGTGCGTTTTTTCATTATTCAAAGTATAACGCTCAATACATAGTTAAGAAATAACGACTATTTTGACATTTTCAAATGACCGTAACTTTTCAAAAAATGCATTTTTTTTAAAAAACTCACCGTGGTGCTCTCCGGGATATTGTTTTCTTTTAATTTTATACTGTGTGCTTTTATTCAAAAACCAAAATTAAGCGAGTTATTTTCAGTTGGCATAAACATGTTTTTACCACTGAAAATCACCGGTGCGACACCCTCTTAAGCCTTATAGAGTTTGATACAATGTTAGAAGTTTAAGAATACTTTTTTAAATGATACCTAATTAGAAACCTCTATGTATACATTTTTATTTAAAAAAAAGAAACCTCTATGTATACATTTTTATTTAAAAATAAGAAACCATTAAAAATATTTCAAATAATGTATACTATTATGAAATTGATAGACGATGAAATTTTATCTTTTTTACAATAAATTAAGTATTTTGGCAGTATTTGTAATGTTGCAATATAATTACAAATAGGTACTGTAATAAATTGAAATTAGTACTTTTATACCTAAGGTAAAAAAACAATTTATTTTAACAATTAAAAATAATTAATTTATAATAACTGGTTATAACTATGATAGGGTCATTGTTAAATACAAAATATTATAAATGAGTAACCCGATATTATATTATTATTTTAATAGAAATTAGAATACAATTAGATTAAACAAATAAATAGGTATCGAATTAACTTTTAATGATCACATCTAAATTAATGGTAGTATTTTCCGATACCATCATGTAAAGGTTGATTCTCATATCGGTACATAATAAATAAGATTACAGAAATGTAGAATAGTTACATACTTAATAATAATATAAATTAATTTCATTATTGAAAAATACACACTTGGGTAAAGTATAATTTATAAATAATGGAATAACTTACCGAAATTATAGATGATGAAAAATGGTAGCCTAGAAATTTGATTATTTTATACTACTCTTGAAATGTGAATAACTTCATAATTTAAATCATAATATCAATCTCAATGTTCAAACAATACCGACACGTGTGTGTATTATGAAAATGATTTTTAATCTTGTGATTTGTAAATTCTGCTTGATTTTCGTAAAGGTCATGGTCATAATAAAACTAGCAAGTTGTTTTTCATTAAAATAATACAAACTTCACAGACTAATCTGGATTTTCGAACCACACATCTCTACTCTCTAGCAAATACCTAATAGGTAGTAACTTTAAACTTGATTTTACACAAGTAATTAAAACAGATTTGGTAGTTGGTACTGATCTTAGAATGGAATTATTTATTGATAAGTGATAACATAACTACAGTTTTGCTGATATGGGCCCGGTGAAATTTAATCTTATCAGATATTAGATTGTCACCTAAATAATAACCATGAACTAAGATACACCTACCATAGTTCATGATAATAACTAATATAGACACATTATCGGGGTGTTAATAATATTTTGTTTTAATATCATTTTAGTATATTATTATAAAGAATTATAAATTTTCATATTAATGATATTTAATTATTAATATTATAATACTTAAGTAAAAAAAAATGTGTATATTGTAACAATATAATTGATTCATAACTTGCTTTAAAGTATTCTGATTTTTTTTCCAATTATATTATAAATATAAAAATACTGAAGTTACTAAATGTTGTTTAATGTGTGTGCATTTTGGAATGATAGGTATGTATGATGCATGCACAATGTACCTACTGAACGATATTGTACAAAACCAACTTTTAAGCGGTCATTTGGTTGCCTACCTACCGCCGTGAAAGCACTCTTGGTTAAAAGGCTAAACGCTGATCGTGGAAACACTAGTATTGTTGTTAAAAATATAAAGTTTTAGTAATTTAAAAATTAAGAAGTACATATTTTTAATTCGCCCCTACGGTTAAGTGGTGTATCTGAGGATTTTTGTATAGACACGAGGACGACACTTAATTATTAAAACATGGCTAATACATATAATTTAAACAAATATGTTAAACTCGTTTAAGCATTATGAAATTCCACGTTGTCTGAGAGACTCGGTAAATAATTTAGAAAAAATTAGGGGAAGTAGGGCTTTATAATAGAAAAATGAATTACACAAACACATCTTTTGGTCAACGATTTGTGGACTATCTTAGTTCTCTCTTTTACAACTCCTTAAGTTTAGATTTGAAAAAAAGTTAATCCAAAAGTCAAGTAAAACGCATAAAAAATTTATAAAAATTGGACATATTGAATAAAGAATAATTTTTCAAATTTAAATATACAATATATATAATATACAATAATCGTATTTAGTCTGATCATGATGTACTCATACGTCGATTGTCAAGTGCACACATGTGTAAATTACAATTTTTAGATAAAACGTGTGAAGTTATAAAATATATATTTTCATGGATTTTTGACCCATCAAAGTATCATCAGCATACAATTTCGGATCTATAGAGGTGCTAAATATATCGCGTCGAAACTAATAAATGGTAGAACTGCGAATATCAATAAAAGCATAGTATCTAATGACATAATAAGAAAATTCTAAGAGAATAAGAAAGCATTCCCTCTGTTTCTCTTTCGTAACTCCCGAAAACCCATTGTCATTCAACTTTGTGCCTCTTGTGATATTTTAGACAGCCAAATTTGGACTCAGCGATTTCCACAATACCGCTAATTTTTGCCTTTCTAATTATTATCTCGTCGAAAACTTCAAAATTATGACAATTCCATAACAGTACTAAGCGTAATTGTTTTTCTATGATATTTAAAAACAATATTGCAAATGTCTTGAAAAACCTGTTAGGAATTTTCGAATTTTTTTTTTTTAATTAACTAAATGTAAAAAATAATTGTGTTTTATGTATCAAATTATACAATTTATTCATATTTTTATCCTTAATTCTACAATGTCTGTAATAATAACAATCACAATAATTTTACAATTTTTTCTTGGTTAATATTTTTATCTACACTAATTATTGTGTATGCACCTAATTAACAAATTGTACTCGCCCAAACAAAATATAATACCAATATAGGGGGAATATACAATTCAAGGTAATCAAAAAGGGTAGGTTCCACAATTTACCTCTTAGTAAACCTATTACATTGTATGGGCCAATGGTGCGGAATACCCAAATAAAAAATCCAAAATACTCGGCGTGTATTCAAATGATAACAATCAAAATATAAAAAAAAATTAATTACTTACTATAATTCGGTTGTCATGATAGAGTTTGTAGACAACAAAACAGTACTTGGCTAATTAAATTAAAAACTACAAAGGAACGCTGCGAATCGTGAGCTGCACTGTTCACAACATATAAGCAATGCATATAATTGTACACACGATATTTTTTACTCATGTTAACACTATTACAATTAGGTAGTACAATGTAAGTTAAATTATATATGTAAATTGTTACGGCGAAATTTGTCATATGCATCAGAACATAGGAATATTTTTTGGTGGAACTAAAGAGTTTTAACCTAAAAGCATATCCATAGTAAATTAAAGAGATTGTTTAAATGTTTTACGATTGTTGATAAAATGTTGACCCGTCATACACCCAACATATCGTTCTAATGTTCTTTCATCGAATTATTGCAAAAATCATACCTATTATAATTAAAGAAACAATTTGGATAGATTGTTCATATTTTATAAAACAAAAAATGTCAAGGTCACTTTAGTTTACAGAACAATAGTAAATGAAATGATCATCCGAAAACCTTCCCTAATGTCGCATCGTATGTTTAAATAAAATCAAAAGTTATTTACTTGTAACTAATAGGAGTTGAAGATAATGTCTACTGTACACGGTATGAACTGTTCTGACTTCTGAGTCTATCTTTGGTAACTTAAATAAAGTGTGACCTACGTACATTTCTTATCTGAGTCGCATAGTGACTAAATGTGACTACGGTCGGTGTGGCTATAGCGCGACTTACGGCGAGTTAAAGTAAAAAGTTATGAATTCTTAAAGCAAATTTAAGAGTATAACCTATTCAAACTTAGTACACTATAAGTAATGCCAGGTTATAAATAAGGTTACAATATTTCAAACAAATTTTTAATAATTATCTTTTAAAGTTTTTATTTTTAATCATAAATAGTGTAAGATTTAAAAAAAATTGTTTAAATTTTACAATGTGGGAATATGAACCATATTTTTTATAATAATTTACAAAAAATTAATATAGTATACAAAATAAAGATTATATTGAAAATATAATTACAGTATTCAAAAAATAATAAAATATAGAAATCATAAACATTCAAAAAATGATTAAGGCACAAAATAGTTGTTTTCACTTATTAATCCGAGTGTCATGTTCATTTTATGACAGAAAAGATGAATTAACTACGTAATAGGTAATAATAACATAATCTTTCTTTGTCTTTCTTGGTTATTCTTCATGGCTTCAATGCCTGCCGGCAGCATTCCGACGATTTTCTCCCAAAAATCGATATCGATATTGGGCGATGTCGGCTTTTTCGGTCTGTTGAAATAACAATAAATTATATTCTTTTCAGAATTGTAAGTACATAAGAAATGTAAATTTCAAAAAATAACTTTTTTTACCACAACATTTTTAGAATCTCTTTGCGCTACTATGGTTACTATGGCCGATTTGTCATTTGGTAATATTGAAAAGCCGTTGTTTGTGATATTTGAAATTATCGGATGCTGATAACTGTTCATAAGTATTAAGTACATTACGAATGATTAGAGCAAACCTTTTTTAAAATAAACATGTCATTTAGTTGGGGTCTGTAGAACTTAGTGTGATGCTTTTGTGACAAGAGGGGAAGGGATGGGATAAGTGTACTTGTGGCAGGGATGAAATGGTGGCGGATATCGACGATCGACTATGTTGAGGGAACATCGATAACTGACAAGAGAATCAGCTGATGCCTGATCATAAGACTTATTCGTGACCCAATGTCTTTCCTTTAAGGAAAAGATTGAACATTGTTCCTTAAAAATATATCATAAAGATTAATAATGGAGTACTTACAAATGGTTCGAATATAGGGGATGACAAAACGTTATTTTCTCGTGGGGATTTTGTTCCATAAAAAATAACAATTTCAGAACCTGCCTTTTGAGATTTAAGTGTCACCTTAGATTATTTTTATTTTATTTTATAAGTCGTAAAAAAATTGGCGCAAATACATTAATGATTGCAGACGTGACGTAAGATTTAATTTAAAAACTACGCAACGAGACAGATTTTTAAATTAGTCAATTAGTATTATCGATATTATTAGAACATTTATTTTATCATTATATACATTTTCGTTATTTTAATTTGTACTTCTCCGTACAACTTATATAATAAATGTCTATATATAGTAAAGGGGTGGTTCTACCTTTTATACATTCCCCCCCCCCCTCAGAAATTGAGCCACAAATAATAAATTTTCATTTCGACAAATAATAATAATAGTTAAAAAAAATGCCGATTTAATTTACAAATAATATACTATAATTTGATATTTAGTAGTACTATTTACAGCTAGAATAGTTGTGTGTTCTTCACGTATGCTCTGACTATACTGAGTAAAGTCAAACACTAATGTAGGTCAAGATGCCTGATTGCCATACTGTGTATACCTTCCTCCCTTCGCAATTAATAATTAGTCAATATATTTTATTTGAGTTTACCTTAGGTACGTCCTAGGACATTTTGTTGTGCACGACATTATGGCGAATAATAACTAATATGTATAATATAATACACGAATAAGTATGTGTAAATACATACATAAGTATGTGGGTGTGTTATAAATTCAACAATTGACAATTAAATTATATCTAATAAATTGTATTATTGAACAAAAAAGAGATGTATGGTAGTTTTCGTTGTCATGTATTATTAACACTTTATTTATTTTCAATAGCACTAAACATTATGTATTATGTTATGTTATTACGTCTTATTAATTATTATACTAACCATATAAGATATTAATAATATTATTGTAAATTGCATTATATATTAGTAATTGGGATAATTGGCAGACAGGAGTGTATGGTTAGAAATAAAAACACTGATGCTCAAATAAGTGTTATTTTCAATTATATATATTTCCTATAAAACAAACGTTTTATTTCATAACATAAAATTTTTTTGTTCTCGTATTATAGGCTCATATTTTCTTAAATTTCTTATAATATATATATACGACTGAACGTAACAAATGTTTTACAAAACTAATAATTAACCAACAGTTTTTTATATATTATTATTCTTATTTATAATAATATTTAATAATAATATAAGTTATTTTTACAATTGACTACATGTTTTCTTTTTGTTTTTTTGTTTTCGATAAAATTATTGTTTTTATTATACAACACATACTCGTTACATATTATCCTTTTCGTCTTGTTTATGTGTATATTATATAATTAAAGTATTCTAATAATGTTATTATCATAATTTATATATATATATATATATATATATATATATACCTATATTTCATTACCGCAATTATTATTAATATTACTAATATTGTTATTATTATTAATAAATATTAATAATAACAATATTAGTAATTAAGAATCAAATGACTTCTATGGAATGGTTAACCCTTGGCCTCTACTCGAGTGGTGTAAAAATACCTTAAAACTTTTCATCTACAGAGCACGCAATTAAATTTAATGAACCCGTAACAGTAATTTTTAATACGACCTAACAAGCTATAAAATATCTTTAAAACGTTTTATTTTTCATGAACATATTTTTAAAAATAATTATAGAATAGAAATCAATTATAATAACTAAACTTTTTTAAATGGCTATGTACATAATTGTAAGTTCTAATGGGACGGTCTTCTTAAGATCAGTATAATTTTGTACCACTTAATGAGTATGACTATTTTTTCCACCATCTCAATGTTTAGCCTAACACACTGTGACTTGTATTAAGCAACTCGTTTTGATTTTGTGTTGTCTGTCTTGATGTCACGTCGGTTTTGGATTTTTTTTTATAATAGTCTTTACAGATTAATATACAGACAGAACATAACCACAGATGGTTTGTTAGTGTTGTTATGATAAGTTTCCATATTATTGTATAATTGGTTTTAATATACACGACGGGGTTCGTTTTTGAGTCGCTCGTAAGTTATATCTCATATTATGCTGAAAATTGTTTCTTGTAAAAAAGAAGATCAAATCCTATTTAAATTTGAAAATTACGCGCATTCAATCATAAAGATTTTTCCCCTTAAAATATCAGACCTACAATATATTGACATAAAATATGCATGTATATAAGTTTATATATTATCTACATCTATAATTTTATACAACAATATTGAGCACTTTTCTAAAAATACCGACTTAAGTAAGAGTTTAATTGGCACGAAATCAACAAATAATATATATTTAAGGGCAAGACAATAATAATTACTATAATACAGTAGACTTAAAAATAAATAGCTCAATTCAATCATGTTTTGTAGGATATTACATTACGGTATACCGTTTATTAATATTATTTGATAATATATTATCTATTTGGACGGAACTATCTACAAATTAAGCTAAACTGTATCGTATAATTAAATATAAATAAATATATATTTTTTTATTATTTTGAAACCATGATTACCTTCTAAACCAGACAAATTATAAAATTTAATCCTAGTTATTAATTTTTTTTTATTGTTTATTAATTACAAAGTTTGAATATAACTATAACTACAAACCGAATTTATAGTATTATCCATAAAAACCACAACGAATATTTTCGGTGTAATTTATTAAATGTTTAATAATTACTAACAGGAACAATATAATATATATTTCAAAACTCCCTCGCCTGCATATTCATAGCTGTGTACATAATATATTAATTGGATATTATGGCCTAATTCGGAGTTACACATTTTTTTTTTATAATATTAAACAAGTTTAAATTAACAATGTTTCTTACAAACAAAATTTAACTAACATCGGCAGTAATAAATAAAAAGACATTCAAATTTAACAATTCGAGTAAAACAAAACAATAAAAGCTAAATTATTCATTACCGAATATCACACCCATAATAATAATAATAATAATAAGAATAATAATATAATGTATAAATATAATATCTACTCTAGCAACGCACGTTAAAAACGTTAGGCACTTCAATAAAAATATGACAAAGTGTAATTGAAATTTTGGTAAACAATTATGTTTTTGCGCCTATAATATTCTTAACGGAAACATCATATTTGATTTCCTTAATTCTACCCTAAAAAGGTCGTTTGTAATAGTTTTCTTTTTGTAAATACATTGTTTTCTACATTTCTTTTCAACGAAAACTACTCTGCGTTTTCTTAAATAAGATAAGTTGGTAAGTTCTCATCGTTTTTAGTGGTGTAGTATTTCTTTTTATTATAAAGTAGATGATCTGTGTTATCCTCTATTTCTTTTGATAAAGAAATACTCAATCTCATTGCCGTTCAGCGAGTTTCCAGTTTGGCCAGTTATTGCAAATCATTATTTATGGGTTGGGCATTGGTCGAGAATACATTTATTTGTAAATTAGTGGTAAGGGTCTACGCTTTCATTTATAGTAAAACAATCAAGTTGGTATTAAGTGGTATACATTAATTCAATGAGATGTGTTATTTCGATTAGTATACAGTGTTATACACAGGGTATTAACAAACTAAAGAACAAATAGTAATATCGGGCTAAATATAATATATACATATATATATAAAAAAAATAACCCTGTGTATGTTGCTGTATAATGTATACGATAGTCTCTCATTTGAGCTGACGGCAGGGAAATTTTGCGAAAAGTCGTTGATCGTTACCCTTCTTGCCAACCCCTACACACACACATATAACTAAATATATGTGTGTTTATATGTGTATGAAAGCTTCCCGTTCCTACTGCAAGCACCCTTTAAATAATTCTGCAATATCCGGCCACCGGCTGTCGACATCCGCACCACATCTCGCACAACAGCAGCTCTTTATGTGTTCAGAATATTGTGCCACTTAATTCCTTTGAGCGTCTTCAATACTAATACGGCCTATAAAATATGTATAACTATACATATTATATTATATTATATAAATCATTATCGTTATTATTATTATTATTACTATTACACTGTAATACAATATCACGCGCATTTAACTAACAAGATTCGATTACCTAATAATGATAACTAAATTATACCAACATTAATTGTATACACGTGTGTTAGAAAAAACAATTAAAAATTAAGTACAACAAACAAAAAAAAAGGCCTTTTTAATTGTATGTTTTGTATATTTTACCGCGTACAACAAAGAACACACAGTAACTTAATACTACGTGCATATCCTCTTTTAACCTACATAAACATGTTTGTCTTTTATTAACCGACTTTCTAAAATGAGGAGGTTCTTTATTTTACGCGCGTATAACAATAATTATTACAAGCCATGTATTTATTCGTTCGATTTTAGTAATGTAGTAGAAATAACTAATACACAAATATGACCATTCATAATAGATAATAGTATTTATAATCTATGACCTATTCCGTCAATTCCCTAAATGATTTAAATTTACCTCAATTGTTTTGACTGTGTTTAGCGTTCGGGTTATTTTATGTTTTAAAATATGTATCAAAACCGAAAGATACTCAGTATGGGAACTCACGATGAATTTATTTATTTAGAATCAATGGTACGAAAAACACGATTTTTTTTTTAAATTTTGGGTAATAGTATTAATTAAAATCGAAAGCGCATGTTTTTAATATTTTTTTTTTAATTTGTTGGTTCTTTGACATTAAAGAACAGCCCGAGCACCAAATGTCGCTTACAAAATACGGGAACATTTTAACGTTACAAGTGGGGATACCCTAAAAAAATACAATTCGCATAACGCACGATAACGAGTACATGGAGGGTCTAGAGATCAAGTTTGATATTTCGAAAACCAAATTCAAAAAAATATATACGCATACGGGCTGTATTGAGTTACTGAGTGTTCCCCGTTTCGACGAACACGCGGTATTTTATTAATATTTATTATTTATTGGTCCCGGCCAGTAGAAACTTGCGGCGCCAACAACAACAACAAACAACGACGACGACTCGTGTCCATTTACTTGTATTATACAGTCTCGTCCGGAACGGACCACCCTGCGTCCGGTCATCTCTTTTTTTTTCGTACAACCCTATTATATTATAGGAAACGAGGGATGGCCGGCCGGCGTGGGTGGAGGGAGGGGTTTACTCTTTCTTCCATCTAACTGCGTCCGTCTCGGTACCTTCGGACGGAGACGACGTTCTTATCGCCACGTACCCGACACGCGTTTGTCTGTCGTTCCCGACATGAAATCCCGTTCGCGTCGAATTCGCTTTGGAAGATTTTTTTTCCGGCGCGTTTTGTTTAAAAATGTATTTATTTGTGCTCGTCGACGTCCCTAATTATCGTCATGTGACCGCCGCCAGTGTAGTCCGGAGCAGCGGGGGCAGCGACAGGGCAACTAGCAGCCAGGGGAACGGCGCCGGTACATCCCGGTCGGCCGCAGAGTCCGACAGGCTGTAATCCTTGCACGTAGACTCTTCGTCCTCCGGCGGTATGGAGTGTACGCACACGGGTCTCTGGTCTGCCGGTCTAGGCCCAAAGGTCGATCGGTCGTCGACGCACAGCGAGGCGTTTTTTATGCACAGCCCGTCGCCGCAGTGCTCATAGCAACAGTCTTCTTTGGCGTCCACAGCGGACATTTGGTACATGATGTCAGGATCTGCAACGATACCCACCGACAATATGATTAGATATAATATAATAGATAATATCAATATCACACGTATTAACGCTAATATAATAATATTAATGCTGATTTCTCTTCGAAGTAAATGTGCAGAGCGTGCCCGCGTGTCAAAATAACACGGTATGTCAGCGACTTGTGATAACCGCAAAATTGCAAGAAACTTGCACGAGACCAGCGGCAGCCGTGTTGTAGAAATTGATTACACGAGTTTCTGGCATACCGTGTTTGCCAAGAGCGACCTAAAGAAAAACGAGGAGAGTAGAAAAATGTTTGACTTAAGTAATGGGTTTTAACCTAACCTAAATATTGTGTTTCACAATAATCAGATTAATCATATATTTTAATTATGAATGAATTGGTCAGATCATCGTGAATACCTAATATAAACGCATTTATTATAAAACAAAAAAGTAGAAATCATGTTTTAAATTTATTAACTACGTATTATTTTAAGAACCAGACCGTCGAAAGTACCCGTTGACAGTTTCTTTAAGATTTATAAATTGGTGTAAACCAGTATTGCTATTTTTAGCTTATGGACACAGAGTGGGAGCTTCCTATAGTTGCTTTTTAGGGAACATATAGTTCTAAGAATCTATTGGGAAAAATTATTAAAGACGCGCAGCTCCTCCCTTTCCAACTTATTGTTGACAAGGGGCTATCGAAAACGGGACTACTTGCTCAATAATTGAGATAAACATATGTTTATGTTTACAATTAGTGTGCATTTTTAACTGTTGGAGCACTTACTATTTATCATATTAAATTTAGGACGTACGAGAAATAATTAAACTTCATCAATTTTAAAATAAAATAAATCAGTCTAAGAAAACAGTGTCATGTATTAGTTGTAATTCTGATGTATCGCATACATATAGAACCTAACCACCACAACTCAAAATTTATAAAGCAAACTTTTCAATATGCCTTTTTTAAATATTTTGAAATGCTTCTAAAACCCAAAAATGTAGACTTATGACGTTTTATAATTGTGAATGCAAGACTGCCTTATTTAAAGACGTGTCTGTACTGAATATGCTTATTGTTTTTAAGAATACTATATTAATAAAATATGACAGTATTGAAATCAATACATGTTGCATATTGTAATATCCACAAATTATTAAATGCAATACTGCTACAACTCTAATAATTACTGTTTTCCATGAACACATTGTATGGAGGTAAATTACACACTGAACGTATAGTTTGTATTCAGTTGATATTCAAGGACGCCACAAATCAAAGTAATACAGTCTTATATTTTGACTTCAGTGATTAGTCGGATAAATTAAAAACGGAAATATTATTATAAAGTGAATATGGCTCTATTGCTTTTATAAGTAACTAAAAATTAAAAAAAAAATCAATACTGACACATATTTAAGGTGGCATTTAAGTGGTATTTATATGTAATGTGGCGTTCTTACAATATATTATAAAGCTAATTTTTTACTGCTCGAAAGTATTTATAACTCAAAACTGATTAATTCTGAGTTGTGGCGGTCTTGTTCGAGGTGTACCATTATATTGGGGTTTAATTAAAAATTATGAAAACGAATTGTTAATAATTTTTGATCATTAAGATTGTTGAAAATCAAATTATTAAACACGCATAGGCAAAGTTGTACACGGAGCGCGTTTGTGTATGCATTATGACAACACAGTGCGCCCGATCATAGAGGCTAGTGGCGGTTAGAAATTGAATTAATTTTTAAACGAATTAACTTAATTTAAAATTTAATTATTGCTTTGCAGGACCACAATATTAAACGTAGTGCACGAGAATTGCTGAATTTGGCCACGTTCCATAATAACATGTGTTGTACTTTCAACTAGGAAACTAATATCTCGTTAGCTTAGCAAGTTGGCCATATTGTTTGACCTGCTTTTAGACTCGACGAACTTTATCTTGGGGGTAACAGGTACAGAATTTTAGGATGCTGAACGCACGCTTTGTTAAAACAATAACAAGAAAAAGGTCTAACCGATATGTTGTCGGACGAAGAGCTTGTGTATGGTCGTCAAAAATCAGCGTTAGAAAAATCGTGATTTGTATATAATACATAAGAATATATATATATAAGCTTTTTTTTTAGACAGCGTGTATTTCGTTTGTCGGTTGCCATTTTCGCTTAATAATGCACGTAAAAAATAATGGAAAACAAATCTTCGGTAAAGGCGGACGAACAATGGGTCATGGTAGTTTTTCAAAAGAAAGCTTTACTCTATTGACTGTTTTGTTTTTTGATGTTGAGTAAAAAAAAAAATACGCCAGTCGACCGACGCGGCTTGACATTTAACACTGGGCACATTTATATAATACCAGTTATATCTATATATAGGTAAGAGCAAAACTTAAAAATAATATCCTAACGTTAAAACAATTCCGGGAGACAATGATTTTAAACAATTCAATCCTTAAATTTTTAACATTGTACCGACTAGTATAAACATACTTTTTGTTTTGGAAAACTATTTTTTTTTTTAATGTCTTATAACTTCTTGGCCTTTGAATTTAGTATTAGTTAAAACTTTTAACGTCTTACTTCACAAGGTTTTAATATTGAATATAAATCGTATACAAGGTGTCTTGCAAGGATTGTAATATTTTTTATTTAAACCAAATTCTTTTAAGTATTATGTTTTTGATAACTGCTCGGTACAAATTTAATATTTTTTAAAATGTAATTAGTTACAGCTATACTTACACTACGCAGTTGAACAGCGCCTTATTGGCGTTTACATGATTTAAGTTTTAATGTTAAGGTTGTTGAAGCACATAAACATTAAAAAACCAACCCTCTTCATTATAATTTAAATATTTACAACTACAAGCATATTCAAATACTTCAAATACTAGATTAGGATATATTTTCTGTCGAATATTTTGCGCATAAATGTCTGTTGTGTATTTTGCGAATAAATATTTTTTTCTTTATTTTTGATTCATTTAAAGTCATTAGCAAATATATAATTTATTTATTTATTAATATACGGGCTGAGCCCTTTTAGTACAATGAACGAAATAATAACAGGAATACAGCAAAAACATAAAACGAGAATTAAAATATTAGCTAGAACAAAAAATATAAAAATATAAAGAGAATAAAATAAGGTATTATATAACAATCTACAATTTACAAATTAAACCCAAGGAAGATATTGAAAATAGTTAAATAAGAAAGGAGGGGTCCGTATTGGCATTAGACATCATACGTCTCATAGGCTCATTTAATAAGTAGTTGGTGGTACATAATGGAATATGAAAATTTGGTGTGGAACGAGAGGTGCGTTGTGGAATTTTAAAATGTACACAGGACAGTAAGGTTGGAGAGTCTACTTTACCAGCTAACAGTCCTTTCAGGAAATTAGCACCCATAATTTGCCTGCGCTCCGCTAATGAGGCTAAACCAAGTTGATTGGCAACGGGAGTGTAGTCGTGAGGTGCACAATTGATACCCAAAATGTAGCTGGTGAATCTAAGGAACCTACGCTGTACCCTTTCAACCTGGCAAGCATTTTCGGCAGTATGGGGATCCCATATTATGGCACCATATTCTAGTATTGATCGGACTAAAGAGCAGTATAAAACTTTAATCGAAGAACTTAGCTTAAAGTCCTTTGACATCCTCATTATAATGCCCAAAACTCTAAGAGCTTTACAACAAACCATCTCAATATGGAGACCAGGGTCAAGCTTACTAGAAAGCTTGAAACCAAGATCCATAACGAACCCATTGCAACGTGAAATTTTTGAACCCCGGAGGTGATAAGAAAACAAAATAGGGGAGCGGATCCTATTGAATGTCGTGGCTTTACATTTAGCCAAGTTCATAGATAAACCTAATCTATCGAAAAAGCAATAAAACTATCTAAATCACTCTGAAGTTTTTGACTATCTTCTATAGAGTCTATTTGCATGTAAAGTTTAATATCATCAGCAAAGCAAAGAAAACTACAGTGATGCAGCGCTTTACTTAGGCTGTTGATAAAGATAGCGAATAATAATGGAGACAAGTGTCCACCTTGAGGTACACCAGAGGAGGCATGGAACACATTAGATTTAAAATTGAATAATTTTACCCATTGAAACCTATTTTCAAGGTAGGATTTAAACCAAGACAATAGTGGCTCGCCGATACCATTTTCCTTTAGAATATTTATTAAGACAGCATGATTCACAGTATCGAAAGCCTTATGAAAGTCTGTGTAAATAACGTCTACTTGAGAATGATGTTGGAAAGCGTTGAAAACAAAATTATTAAAAATTAGACAGTTTGTGATTGTTGACCGACCAGGCCGAAATCCATGTTGTTCTTCCATAATAACATGAATAATGTTATAATTAAAACGAAAATAATATACAGCCAGAGTCTTTAAACCAAACGTAATTTTGAAACACTAATTTACTGAAGACAACTTTTAATAAGTAAATCCTCATGGAATACACCGTGTATAAATGCATACTATTAGTAAATTATTTAACATGTGGTACAAATTACCTTAGCAAAACAAGAAGACGGAACGTTTTACGAGCAACTGATGTATAAATTATGTTAAGCTTAAGAAAAAAACCCAAATAAGGTGCCAGCTTTTTGCATAGTATATGATTTTGGTTGGTCGCCAAACGGGCTCTCGTGAAAGACGTCGCACGTGTGTCAAACTACTGCGTAGTGCGTAGTTAACTTTGCTAATGACTCATAACACAACTATACAAACCCAATGAGTGTTGTATAAAGAGCCTGCTTGATACGGGTTACTAGGTTTTGACTGATAGCTATAATTTTTTTCTTCAAAAACCGAAACATAACATAAGGTAAGCGCGAATGATGTTGAGAAAATACAAGGGGGGAAATACTTTGAAATCCAAAATTGTATCATCGTTTGTATTGGGTCGTTAAATATTGACTCTACCGTTTATGGTGTATTAAATGCGGTGTTCGAATACCGATCGTAACAATGTAGTAGGTTATGTGCAGTGAACAGACGATGGGAGGGAAGAGGGAGCTATTTGTCAAACATGATTTCAATAATAATCGGAAATTATTAATAACAAAGCACCTATCTACATACGACCCGTTTGATCAGTGAACATGTAATGAGCGGTGTTTTATCGGCCATTAATATATTATCGAACAGTGTTCACTCATCTATCCGACCGTTGCGGAAAAGGGTTTTTAATTTTAAGTAGTGTTTATGCGTGTAAACTACTGAACCGTAAAAATAAATGTATATATTTTTAAATTTAATATAGGTAAATAAGAAAAAAAAAGAAAAATATAACAGTAATACCGTTGGACGCTCATAACTTTTTATCATTTCGTTCGTTATAGATAACAATAATAGACTGAGTCATTACCATATTATAATAAATTTTAACTATTGTGATAGAGTGCACGCCCAGGAAACATTTTAATGGTTAATAAAATAACAAATTATCTAAAGAAATGCAAGTTAAAAAAAACAAAACTGCAATACTAAACAGTACAATAATTTAATAACGTCGTTAAAAATATTAGTTTTTTAAATAACATTAAAAAAACTATTATGTTATTCCATAATTACGAGAGTTGGAGTTCAATGGTATGGAATGTTGATAGTAAAAAATCCTTAATGGCTTCGTGCATTTAGTACAAATAATTAACTAAATTATTAATAGAACGTTAGCTACACAAATGTACACATTTATAAACAGGGTATAAAATTTATATGACGGTAACGAATTGGCCAACCAATATTATACGTACCATAATATTTTCTATTGATAAGTGTATTCATTTTGGTTTACGGCGTGGTGTGGTCCTGTTTTTATTTTATTTTATTTTCTAATTACATCATTTTCTAAATGGATTCGAATTATGTATATGTATACGACAGCTATGCGAGCTTGGCTCGGTGCTTGTGTAAGTTACCACCCGGCTCACGACATATTTATTGCATTGGCCATTTAATTTAAAAACAAAACTAACCGTAATTCATATCACCCATAAGTGCATTATATTAACGCAGTTCAAATAAAAATGTCTGTAGCGACTATTTTTTATTTTAAGCGAATCTAACTTAATAATAAAAAAAAATGTCGCAAACACAGGCCTAAGGGTCCGAAACGTTTTTTCGCGCGTAATTACCCGTCAACAAGGGTTACGGTTGTGCGATATTCGAAACCGGCTACCGTGACGGGCAATGCGTTCAATCGGACTAAGTTTATCCAACGGGTCGGTTCGCTTTTGAAAGTTTTGCCGTTTCCAAAAGGCCACCAGACTGTCGGCAATAAACGCGTTTACAAAAAAAATTCCAAAGGTTTTCATACAGGGATTTCGCCATCGCGTCGCCCCGTGTAACGCCAACGGCTGTTCCGTCGTGGACGCACCCCGCGGCCGATCGTGCGGTGTTCAGCGTGTTTAACATAATATGTATCGCGTGCGTTGCCGTTGAAAAGTAACAACCGTAAAACCGCGTTGTAATATTCCCACGGCTAACGAGTAATTTCGTCGCATCGCTGTATAGTAATAATAATTACAATCGACCGGAGCCGTGCTCCCGCCCTTATAGACGTGTCCATTTATGCGGTCTAGAAAAAAAAAAAGGGTAAACCCTTATGCGTAAATGTATGTGGCTACCGTCCGGTGCTCCCGTATGTACACAAACGTGTCCTGGAGAAAAAAATGCATTATTGAAACGAAGAGAGAGAAAATAACATATACATATAAATATAAGGCTTCGAGAGACGAACGCCCTCTGAAGGATACGACGGTGGTCCAAAGGGACGGCAATAGTAGTTCTCAGGACTTAGCTAGCCGGGATCGCGGCGACTGCCGTGTGTACGGCAACAAGGATCGCGTATGGGAAGCGGCGCCGGAGGGGAACGTATAGGCGAGAGGGGTCGGCCGGCAGACGGGCGTGGGTAAAACGACAAAGAGAGATGCGGGACGGACGACGTGATGACGTTCGATTTTTCAACATCGCCCGTCAGAGGGGCACGAGGAGACAGAGAGAGAGAGTTAGGACAATGACAAGGAGAGGGGAAACAAGCGCTGCGCCCATCATGAGTTATACAGTTTGTGTTGGATGCTCGTTATGTGTGTGTGTGTGCACTGTGCACGTCTACCTATCCGACTGCCTACGCCGGCACTCGAGCTTAGCGGTTTAGCTCCCTCTCCGGGCCGGGCCGCCCACGCTAATATTACACATACTCCTTTTATTGTATATCCTATCGTATTGTATATGTATGTGATGTATGTGTTGTGTAAACTATACAAATGCGCATCGAGCGCGAACTTTACCTATACAAGTGAAAGCCGCTTCGCCGGCGTAAGGGTTGGCGTCGGCCACCGGAAGCAACCACGGGCATTTCTGTTCGGCTTCGAGACACACGGACCGGCAAGATTTCACCCTGTACCGGCGGTCGGGTTCCTTCTCCGGCGGGATCCAATGCGGCAAAACGGCCGAGCAAGCCCATAACGCGTAGGCGTCCTGAAACACAAAAAAAAAACAAATGGCAAAATTAACAACTGTCAACATTTTATTCGATGAAAATAATATAGGTATTAATGTGTGGCTCGGGTCTACCAAAATAATAGATTTTTGTCATCCAAAATAGATATAAACCGTTTGGAATAGACGTTAAACCAAACCCTCCACCCCTTGGTAGATAAATACCATACCTACAAATCGCAGTTAATTTATAACACATTTATTAATTTTGAAATGAAACCTAGAAAAAATCCTAAGCAAATCTTGTAAACTATGTATAGTTAGTTAACTAATTATTAACACACACACTTTACATCCTCACTATGTCCCGACCCCACTGTACTAGCTTTTTTATGTTGGACTTACATAAAGAGGTATGGATTACCTACCTAAATATATTATTATAAATCATAGTACTTTTTTGTGTATTTTTATTATTATTTACTAGTACACAACGAGAGTAGACTTTGTACAAAAGCTAATGCATGGAAAGTATGTGCGATTCCATTTATATATTGTGCTTTTTGACTTATTTTGAACTGAGAGAGTGTAACATAAAGCCAGTTATTTTCGATGCAACTTTCGGTGGCAGCAGAGTCGCGCAAATGGTTTAACATGTCATTGGGTTTGGTCAATAAAAATTGATGGTTCACGTGTTGGGGCGCTTTCGGCACAGTGAAGGTTCAGTAGATGTTTAATTTTATCAAACCCATACGTTTATTGGATCGCTTGTAATAACTCACCATGGGACATTTTGTTGTCCAAACGAAATCCTAAAAATGAAATGTTTTCACATTCATATCACGTAAATAAATAGGTATCCTACGACTCCTAGCATACTGTTTATTTAAAATCATAATGCACCGGCTTATACAACAAACTATACATACACTTAATTATTAATAATCAGCATATAAATATTTTTTTTTTAGAGAAAATAAATATTTTCACAAAAAAAAATCTGTTTATCCTAAAGTTTAAATCGCATTATGTGATATTGGGGCTAAAAATAATTAATCTTTTACTGAGAACAAAAATTGCGAAAATAAAATCCTGTGAGTCTTAAAAACATGACGAATACATTGTATTTTATTATAACGGGTAACATTAATGCTAATGTTTTATAGCTTATTGAAAGTAAGCAATCAAAAGTCATCATCTAAATATTTTGGGTTATTATAATATTACATTTTACACGTCAATGGGTCTGATTAAATATTGTGATTACACAGATAGCTAAAATAGTATACATAAAATATAATCTTCTGTAAGTGATAGTATCTGTTTACAACGTTGATTGTTAAGTAAACTAAATAATTCGTTGTGTACAATTTAGTTATACATAACGGAAGACGAGGATACTAGAAGTTTATTTTGAACAACAAATCAAATTTAAGTACATTTCTTACATTTTTTTTTTATCCTTGTTCCAGCTAACTAGCTTGAACACTTTAAGAATATTACCTTAAGCCAATATTGTATCGCGTTGACAACTTTAATTTAACTCGTATTATTTATTTGCTTATTACACAGGTTTTATTTCGGTAAGAGTTAAATTTTAATAACTTGTTATGTTTTTGAATCTCGATATTAATTCCGGTACTAATTGGTTTCGAGAAAGACCGTTTAAACTCATTTATCGCGTCGTATTTCTGGAAATTACTCCTGAAAACTTTTACAAACATTTGCAGTTCATTTTATTTAGCTCATTTTCAACCGTTACGAACGTTTTGTCGTTCCCTGGGGGGTGTCTTGAGTAATTGTTCTTAAAATGGCATTTTAGATGAAATGCACAATATGAGCTTGTTCTATAATAATACTTAACGACATATTATACTGTGTTATAAGCAGAATAAACAAGCTGAAAATACCTGGAATTTTTAAAAATGTAAATGTGTAACGGTGCGTTTACCATTACAGAGAATCGTATAACTATATATGTATTATACGTCACCGAGATTGGGTACGCTCTGTTTTCAGAATTACGTCCTACATCAAAATAATCATCAAAAACAAATTAGTTTAAACATATTATTGTTATATTAACAAACTGCCTGTTAAAATTCTATCTCCGTCACGTACGTTTGGTAAGAACAAGGCGTATGACAAGTAGTCGGGGTAAAATCCCTTCCCCCCTCCGACCAGGTGTATCACAAGGGACTGTTTTGTCACCCTTACTTTACATAATATAATATGTGGCCGCGTGGGAAATATCGCGGGCGAGGGGCGGGAGTTTATAGTGTCATTCGCAGATGACACAGCATCATCGGTAGCAAGGGAATCATAAAATCAGGTGTTTACCAGAGTAGAAACTGCTCTTTAGGCGATAAATCAGTGGTTCTCGCAGCTGGAACGGGAAAACATGAAAACAATTTTAAACCAACACTGCGATCGACTTAAGTGTTAAATAAATATCGGTTGACGTTTAAAACAAACACAATGTTTTGCCAATAATCACTTTGACAATATTAAAATGACAGTTGTAATAAATCATTATCATTGTGATTTATATTTGAGGCAATAAAACTTTAGTAGTAGTTATGGACAAATCATCGCTATTGAGTCATAAAATTACAACTCTTCATTCGATGTCATTTATAACGACTAAATGATATCGATTCATTATTTTTATTTTCCTCGTTTCGGGTGAAAAACTGCGGGTTTATCCTTCGGCGAAACCATTGCCATAAACAGAAAAAGGATTGTCCAGCGTGCCGAGAAAAGACTGTAAATTTAAAAGACTATTACGTGCGCCTTATTCGTCACAGGAAAATGGTTTATAGGTAAGTAGGTACCTACTCAATGTACTATGTAAGTATCTGCTTACTCGTAAACCATTTCTCTTTAAAATAAAAACGCCAAACGCGATTCGTGAATGTAATAAAATCGAGTAAGGATAATAAGATTGCAATATTATGCCGTGTAGATTATTTGCACAACGTCAAAGTGCGGTCACTGTTTGATCAAAGTCAAAAACCTGAGTGGCCGCGACCCGCCTACAACTCGGTCGCGCACACAGTACCAGCATGATATTAATTATTCTGCAAGGAAACAGCCAGCCGTTTTCTTAGCGTTTAAACTTTTTCAATTAAAAACTTGACGTCATTGTATGTGTATATTTTTTTCGCCTACGGGTTTTTGTCGCCCTGCTAAAATCAACTCTACTGATACACATTTTGCATCGACCTACGCTGTCGCGGATAAAGGTCGGTACGCCACTCGGGGATCATGGAAACCGGAAAATAACACTGCAGGGTACATGCTAAAGTGGGCTTAGCCTGTAGACTCTTGTCGTCTGACAAAAGCGTGACGGGTGTCTATCGGAGTTCAAGAGGTCGGCGCTCGTTTTATCTTTTACCTTTTGCCTCTTGTCTTTCCACTTCCTCTTTGTGCGCTTCTTTGTCGTATTCAAACACCTATAGGCACGCGCTCTTCAAACGATAGCAAATACTATAATACACCGGATAAAGAATATACATCCGGGGACGATGCCAATCTCTTTTTTTTATTATTATATATCGTATAAGATGACTACTCTCCACAAGTTTTCCGGCGAGATATCTCGTAACGTTTGTTCGTTTTTACGCGTACAGCAATTTATAATGTTGTATATTTATATATATATATATATATATATATACATACATGTGTATTTTTTTTTCTAAAGCTGTAAATCCAGTCAACGACTTTGGAGTTTGCCCGAGGCGCCGTAACAAGCTCGTCGTTACTTCGCCGAGTTGCATTATTTTAGTAAGATATTACAATACTATTATATGCATTCCGTACTCGTTTATAATGCCGTTGGCCGGGATTTAAAAGTTAAACAGTGGAGATCGACCACGGCCGAGTGCGGCTAAAAGTGCTGAGCTCCGTCGGGGTTGTACACCGCAATATAATAACAACGGCAATCGCGGTTCGACGGTTTCTTCGGCCCGCAATAAAGATTACCCGCGGTCGCGATCAAAATGTTTTATCGTACAAAACTCGTGTCAGGGGTCGATCCGACGGGGACGGTATTTAAGACCCCGGGATTAGACGTCAACGGGCTGGTTAGGAAATAATTGATATATGTAAATATACAACGCACGAGCTAATTGTAGAGCGTTAATCAGCCTTGACCCTTTTTGGGGTTTTGCTGGAACCGGCCCGGCTCATTAGCGGCCATTAGGCCGCGGCGGGATGATTAAATTTTGCACGCCCTCCAGCCGGTGGTTTCGTGTGGACGACACATAAAAAAAAAAACACACACACACACAAGTACAATTTATTGTATACCTAACTAATAATATTACGAAAAGATGAAACGGTATAAAAATGCCAACAGTTAGCGTACCGTATCCGTCTATATGACCTCTCGTGATGTACAAACGTTATGCGGCGTTGTTACACGGACGGAGGGGTGGAGGTAAAACTATCGTTGTTTTTATTTCACGTTAATTTTTTTTTTTTTTTTAAATTAAGGTAAACGCAAAAGTTCGTTTTGCGATTCACCCGGAAGTAATGACGAACGCACACGGTATACGGTTTGGCTTTTACTCGAGCACAATATAATATATTGCAATGATATTATATCATTGCAATATTATATCGCGCGCCCGTAATCGGCTGTGTTTTCCGTGGGATTATTTCCGACTTCACAAAACTAATGGAACGCCACAGCCGTTTGTATTAGACGATTCATACGGGGTAATGTTAAACTTTCGGCGGCAAACGAAACAATTATTTTAGCTCGATACCCGATTTCCACCGCGGTACGTTCAATATAATTTACATTATAGCGTGTTGTTATTATCATTATTATTATTATGAATTATTGACTAATACGAATTTGAGTTTTGAACGGGCAAACCGAAATAACAGAATATTCAACCTGTTTCAAACGGAGTTACATATACGACGACGATGAGCATAATATAAATCGCATGACTGCAGTTTTTAAACTTAAAAATGTAGCTTAATAACGACACTGTTACCCCGATTAACGCGCAAGAGATTAATAT